GTGGCTTCAACTCCAACACTGGTGGCTCCTCAATTGATGGTTTGGTTGGTGGAGTTTTTCGATTTTCAAGATCCAAAGACAATTTTCTCGGCTCATAGGAATAAGAGCCCATCCCATGTAAGGCATTGACACACTCCACTCTGCTTGCATCATCATTAACATCAAGATTTAATAGCACGGCCTCAAGGGGATCCTCCATGTTAATCATAGAACTTGTGTCATCCACTATCACAGCTGTGACAATGTCCACAAATGAACACACCTCGGTGCTATTGGGTTGCTTCATGGATTTGCAAACATGGAAGACTACTTTTTCATCACCTACCCTGAAAGTTAGTTCACCTGCTTCAACATCAACCAGTGCCTTTCCCGTTGCAAGGAAAGGTCTCCCTAGAATAATTGGGACCTCATAGTCCACCTCACAATCCAAAATCTCAAAGTCCGCCGGCAAGATAAATTTATCCACCCGGACGAGCACATCATCAACTATACCCAAAGGACGCTTCATTGATCTATCTGCCATCTGTAATCTCATGGAAGTTGGCCTTGGTGGCCCAATACCCAGGGTCTTGAAAACTGAGAAGGGCATTAAATTGATGCTTGCCCCAAGATCACATAAAGTTTTGGCAAAGTCTGCACTACCAATAGTGCAGGGGATAGTGAAAGCACCAGGATCCTCTAATTCCGGGGCCATTGAATGTACTATGGCACTGACTTGGTGGGTCATCTTGATAGTTTCACAGTCCATTGATCTTTCTTTGTAACCAAATCCTTCATGAATTTAGCATAACCAGACATTTGCTCCAAAGCCTCCACCAAAGGCACGTTGATGGATAAGCTCTTCATCATGTCAATGAACTTTTTGAATTGGTTGTCACTTTTCTGCTTGGCTAGCCTTTGAGGATAAGGCGGAGGTGGTCTAGGCAAAGGTGCCTTGGCTTTTGGCACCACTAGCTCCGGCATGTCAATTATGTGCTCCCTAGACGGGTTCACGACCTCTTGAGTTTCCACCTCGGCTTCATTAATGTCAATCCTCACTTCATTGTTCACCTTGTCATCAACCACATCTTCAACTACCAAAGGAACATCATTTTCCCGCAACTCAACATCATCATCCACAACTTGCTTATCTTTCGAGGCATGCACATCACCGCCTCTCCCACTTCGTGTTGTAACCGCCATCACATGATTGTTCCCACTCTTGGGGTTCACTACTGTATCACTTGGTAGATCACCCTTAGGGCGTGTATTCAATGATTGAGAGATTTGGCCTAATTGCACCTCCAAATTCCGAATGGAGGTATTGTTGCCTTCTTTGCCTTCTCTTGTTGGTAAGCATACTCACACCCTCCATGGCATTCACTTGGCGAGGATATTGGACTTGTTTCAACTGTTCTTTAGCCAATTGGTTCAAAGTAGTTGTCAACTCTGCTATAGCCTGTCCATGGTCATGTAGTTCCTTATGCAAATGAATAACCGTGGGGTCACCTTGGGGAACATTGGCCCTACTTTGCCATGCGGAAGACGTATCCGCCATCTCATCAAGAATCTCACAAGCTTGGTCATAAGTCAACTTCATGAAATTACCCCCAGCCAGTTGGTTGACTATGCATTGATTTGTAGTATTGATGCCCCGATAGAAGGTTTGTTGTATCATCGCCTCCGTCATATCGTTGTTTGGGCATTCTTTCACCATTGTTCTAAACCTCTCCCAAATCTCATGCAAAGGTTCCGTGGGTTCTTGCTTGAAAACCAATATTTCATCTCGAAGTGCCACCATGTGCTCGGGTGAGAAAAATTTAGCAATAAACTTATCTGCCAACTCATCCGAAGTTGTGATGGAATGGTTGGGGAGTCTCTCTAGCCAATCCAATGCCTTTCCCCGAAGTGAGAACGGGAAAAGTCTCAACCTAAGAGCATCTTCGGACACATTCGTCTGCTTGCTACCCGAACATGTATCTACGAACCCCTTGTGATGTTTGTAAGCATTTTGATCCGCAGCGCCCGTGAAATACCCACGCTGCTCAAGTAAAGTCAACATCACATTGGTCATCTGAAAATTGCCCGCCCGGATTCTGGGAGGGACAATAGCACTTGAATGGCCTTGGTTCGGTAGCACTTGAGGAACCGCTCTTGGAGGTGGCAGAGGAGGGTCTGGAACGTTGTCATTAGTATTGGCCTGGCGGCCTCGTCCTTGCCCGGGAGGTACAAGAGGCACCTCATCGTCTCCAATATCCTCAACCTCCTCCCGCACAAGCACATTTCCAAGAGGGTCATTTGCATTTAAAGCCATTTGGTACCTGCAGTAATCACACACACAAATTAGTAACAAAGAAGGAAAGAAGAACAACACACGAAACTAACAAAATAGATAGGCAAAACCGTTAGCTCCCCGACAACAGCGCCAAAAAGTTGATCGCTTCCAACTCCGCACCACTAAAAAGTAGCGAGAGAGGGTCGCAATAGCTTTTACCCGATTTTGGGTCGGGATCGAATCCACAGAGAGCTAGGATTGGAGTTGAGTATCTATTTAGCTTAGGATCGCGTGTGTGTTCTTAATTGGTCTTCTCATAATTTTTGGGTTTTCTTTATATTCTACTATAATTAAACTACTAATTGAAAATGCAACTAGATTAAGCTAAGAGAAAGTTGCTACAAGTTGTATCTAAAGGTTTAAAAAGGCACTAGGGTAGTGACTTTCACCTAGGTGGCTAATTGACGGGTAATTGCATCTAAGGCACGATTGACATGATTGGGGAAATATGTTATAACCGTTACTCAATACTACCCACTCTACACCTCTCGGTAGAAAGAGTGGTTTTGCCCAATTGACTCTCTCGAGATCAATTGGGTATGCATATATGCCCGAGCAACTAGGGTTCAAGTCGGGTAATTACTCTCTCGAGGTTTAACCCTTTAATTGGGACTATCAAATCTCTTGAGTCCATCCCAATTCCTTGTTGAATCAATTTTGGAGACTTAGGCTCCATTTCTCAAGAAGAGCCCAAGTCTACTAAGCACATACTAGTGTTTGCAACCACTAATTCATAAATTAAACCATAAAATTGACCCAACTGACAAACACCCATATTCAATCTAACCTAAAATTACAACACCCATCAATTACCCACACTAGGGTTGAGCCACAACCCTAGCTAATGGGTCTAGCTACACATGCTTGAAGATAAAATCAAAGAAATAGATGAAGAAAAAGACATATTAATTAAGCACTAAAGAAAATACAGAGAATCCATAGTTAGAGTTAAGCTAAAATGCCCAAAATGGCTACAAAATAACTTCTCACGAGCGCAGCTGATGTCTGATAATAACTGATTACCCTAAAAATGGAAAAAGGTTCTATTATACAAAGCTGGAAAAACTGGACAAAAATGCCCCTGCGGGGTCAGTGTGGGCCGCACAAAATGAACCGCGGCAGCACTAGGCTTTTGACTCTTCAAATTCACTTCTCTGAATCCAGGCTCCGCGGACCGCACAGAAAGGACAGCAGCCACGGAGGCAGCTAGCGCGGTCCGCACAAAGTCAACCGCGGACCGCATAAGCTTGATGGTAAGCTCTGGACAACTCTCTGAAGTTGGTGTCCGCGGACCATGTAGAATGGTAGTGCGGCCGTGGAGTCTTCAGTGTGGGCTGCACAATCTCCACTGCGGCCGCACTGCTTTAACACTTGATTTGCCAGTTCTCTGAATCTTCCTAGTGTGGACCGCACAAAGTGGACTGCGGCCGCACTAGGCTAGTTTGTCCTGAGTTTTCTTTGTGTTTGATACTTGTGTAGGTTTCACTCCTTGTTGAGCCGATACTTGACATCTCGTCACTTTGTTGATCAAACCTGCAATCAAGCACACTTATGAGCCTTTTGGGACTATTTTGTAAGAATTTATACTCAAAGCATAAGTAAGAAGGAGCATGAAACACGTCAAAATCCCTAGTTATCATGGAGCAACATCAGTGTTTTACAAGATGGGGTAAGTCCCCCTTATATAGGCGAAGGGACTCAATAGAATATGCATATATTATTTACGAGAGTAGAAGGATGGGACGGCCTATCGCACGTCATCTCAGTAGATTATAGATAGACCGACCATGTCAGGTGTAGCCATGCGCCTGGCATACTTCTTCTTCTATTCCGACCTCGGACCCTTCCCCCTTCGGTTCGGGCTCCAATGATCCCTGAGACCGAGAACTTGACCGAGACCTTCCACCCTCGGGGTGTCACACCTCCTTTTTACCTACACCCCCGCAAGGGCGTAAAGGAGTTTTTTCAATTAAAGGACAATCGAAACGGGATTTGTTATTGAGATTCAGAGNTAAAAGGCAATCGAAACGGGATTGTTTATTAAGAGATTCAGAGTCGCCACTTGGGATAGTTTATTTGGTGTCCCAAGTCACCCTTCAAATCCCTAATCGAGGAAAGGGTTGACTCTGTATTATAGTCCGCGATCCAGAAATCCGGGTAAGGAATTCTGTTAACCCGGGAGAAGGTGTTAGGCATTCCCGAGTTCCGTGGTTCTAGCACGGTCGCTCAACTGTTATAACTGGCCTATTATCTGATTTTAATACATTTTAAACCTATGGGCAATTTTAACTTTTGACCGCTTTTATTTAATTATTTTAAGAAAGATTACAACACTATTTAAAATATGTTTCGAGCCATGTCACATAAATGCACCCGTAGCCCATAACACATTTTATCTAACGTTGAGATTTGGATTTGGGTCATATAAATGTGCACCCGAATTTAGGAAGGTAATTTATTAAAATAACGTGCCTAAAACATATCACCAAGCTCATTAGTTGCTTATTTTATAGCTATAGGTTACCTATGTTCAATAAAAAAAGAAAAATAGATATCACGTTATTCAATCTCCCTTTTACTACAGAATATGAAAGTAATACAATTAACAACCATGTATGAAAATTGTCCACAAGTAAAATATGCAAGAACAAAAACCAACGCTACTGCAAGTGGTGCACACAGAAGATAATAAATAAATCTTTATGCTTTTTCATCTCTTAGTTCATGAATGCAATCCAGCGAATCTTGAAATTTTGTCTCAACCTAAAACCTCAATGTAGGACATCCCTTTTCAATTGCCTTAAAAATCGATTATCTATGAAGGAAAACATGGCAATCTTGGCCTTATTTGGCGTTTATTGGATTGGCGTGCCAAAACAATGCGGTTGACCTATATTCGGGCAGAAAACAACTTAATCCGACTTGATTCCAACAAAAATGCGTGCGACCCAATTAATAATCTGAACAAGAATTGGCCAACAATCTATCAATTACTACCAACACTCTCAAATTAAAACAATATAACATTAGTCCAAACATTTCATGTAACAGTGAACAACAAAGTTGACGGAAGTACACTATTCAGCAAAATAGAGTATGAAAAGTGAGAAACCAAACCTCAAAATGGATCAACACATTAGTTGTGAGGCAACGTTAAACTCAGACACGACAAACCAGGGACGGAGCTGAAACGGAACCCATGAACAACGACCACAGACAACCTTGAAGCTCGCTGGAATTATCGAACTAGATCAGAATGACAAAAAACTAAACTTACGCTTGGATTTTGAGTTTCTTTGGGACTGATTTGGGGTTGTACTGATCTGGTTTTGAAAGACGCCTTTGGTGGTGAAGGAATGGCAGAGTTGCTCGTTTTCCGGCGGGTTTTTGGGTTGAAGGAGACGCAGCGGAGATTTTTAGTGGTAAAAGGAGTTAGCGTTTTTGTCTTGCTTCCATGGAGTTGGAGCTCCAACTTCGAAGATTCACTAGTCTCCCATTTATGGTTTTTGTCTAAAGTCTTTTTGAAGAAGATCATCTCATTTTTAGGTGTTGGCTCTAATGAAGAAGATGATGGCTCAAAGGGAGGGGGGTCGTGTTCTTGCTGAATTGCGGCGCAAGCTTTCTGTTTTCCAGGCGTATTTTTTTTTGTCCCTCCCAAAGCTGCGCTTCATTTTTCTGATTAGTGTATATGTAGAGTCTTAGGTCTAGGGTTTATTTTGTGTATTTTGCCAATTAGTCCCTACGTCTTTTTATTTATTTATTTTTTGTCCCAAAGAAGAGTCTAGAAGGGTCCCTAGGCTACACAATGTCTTTTAAAATAAGATAGGAATACTACACAATGCCAAAACCGATCCTAATTAATTAAACTAAACATGAAACTATTTTTGTGTTTTTGAAATTATATAAAGATAAAAATAAGGTACTATTTTTGTATTTTTTTTAAAAAAAATTATGAAAAGTACATGAACTAAATGTTTTTTTGTAATTTTTATTTTTCTTGTAATAAAATAAAGTAAAAGAGTCAAAATGAGTTGAAATAGCTATGTTAGGCCTAAATTAAATATTTAAGTGCTAAAATATAAAAAATCTTGGGGAGGGTCAAAAATCACATGTCTACAGCTGCCCCTCTTTGACTGGAAACGCGAAGAGTTTTCAGACAAAGAATGACTAGACAGGTTTTTGACCCGACCCTTATTTAGAGAGGCCAAAACTAAGAGGAGGGAGAATGTGACCGAGCCCTGGTATCTGAGCTGCCTACATATCCTTGGCTATAAAGGAATCAGGCCACGTATAGTTCAGAAGTGAATGAGGTGATGTAGTATACTGAGGTGGAGAGCCGATCGAGGTGCCGTTCCGCCGAGGTTCCGGTCTGCGGTCCCGTTTTTACATTAAAATCAAAAATGAAAAAGACTATCTAAGCCTATCAGCTACGAGTTACAAGATTCCTATCTATGAGTCTTCTGAAGCTTGATCTTGAGTCTCGATTGGTTCTACATGCGGACCCTGATCTGAATCTTGATGCTTGTTAGCCGCAGGTGTTGGTTCAATCTTCTTCAGCTTTTCAAACTAAGACGGGACATGCAGAGCTTGTGACCTCATCCCTGTTTTGAGCAGCTCACATCTTTCATTAACTTCTGCATTTGGATTCACTTCTTGTCTTTTTTTTTGTTTTTTTCTTTCTTTTTATTCTGGATTGTGACTAACTTTTGTTGATCATCTCGGACTGCTGACTCGCATTCTTGACGCGAGCTTCTTTTGTTGCTGACCTGAATTGCATTCTGAATTGAATTCCCTTTTTTCCAAGTGGGCGCCTGATTACTGAACTTGAAACCGTCTTCTCTTGTTACTTGACACTGTTTTCCCTTGCACCTTGAACCATTTTCCCTTGAAACTTGAACTGTCTTCCTTCGAAACTGCTTTCCTTTGAAATTTGAGTTGTCTTCCTTCGAAACTACTTTCCCTTGAAACTTGAGTTGTCTTCCTTCGAAACTGCTTTCCTTTGAAACTTGAGTTGTCTTCCCTTGTTCTCCAGGTGGGCGCCTGATTACAACAAAATAGACAAAACAAAAGAAATTTTTCTGCCCCAGTTTGCACTAGGAAGATTTGTGAGTTGTCAGCAATATTGTAAGCCACTTATACTATTGATGCAATGATGAGAGTAAACTAAAGACTAGACTAGGATGTGAGTCTCCTAAAAGTGATTGAGCTTGCGGAAAACTATAAACTAAGCTTGACTAAAGTAAAGACTGACCCTATTCTCCAGGCGGGGCCCCTGATTTCAATAAAACTAAACATTGATAATCTTAAGAAAACTAAAAAATGACCCCTCTTTTTTTCAAATTCAGACTTCCCTTAATTTTAAACAAAAAAATTATTATCCTAGGAGAAAATTCATCGGACTAGGTTTTCTATCTTATGAGAAAGATTCATCAGACTAAGATTTTGATCCTAGGAGAAAGTTCATCAGACTAGGTCACTATTTTTTGTTATCTTAGGAGAAAGATTCATCAGACTAAGATTTTTATCCTAGGAGAAAATTCATCAGACTAGGTTTTCTTTTTTCTCTTTTTTTTTTGGTATCTTAGGAGAAAGATTCATCCGACTAAGACGTTTATCCTAGGAGAATGTTCATCAGACTAGGTCTTCTATCTTAGGAGAAAAATTCATCAAACTAAGATTTTGATCCTAGGAGAAAGATTCATCAGACTAGGTGTTCTTTTTGTTATCTTAGGAGAAAGATTCATCATACTAAGATTTTGATCCTAGGAGAAAATTCATCAGAGTAGGTCTTCTATCTTAGGAGAAAGATTCATCAGACTAAGATTTTGATCCTAGGAGAAAATTCATCAGACTAGGTCTTCTATCTTAGGAGAAAGATTCATCAGACTAAGATTTTGATCCTAGGAGAAATTCATCAGACTAGGTCCTTTCTTATCTTAGGAGAAAATTCATCAGACTAAGATTTTGATCCTAGGAGAAAGTTCATCAGACTAGGTCTTCTATCTTAGGAGAAGATTCATCAGACTAAGATTTGATCCTAGGAGAAAAGTTCATCAGACT